CGGCACGCCTGCTCAGACTTCGCCCTCCACCAAGTGCACAGACTGCCTGTCTGCCATCCCCCAGCGTCCCACGCGAGACTGGAACCGATGGGCATGCTTGTGCGCCTGCTGGTACAGTGGTTCCACATCGCCAGCCCAGCCGGGCCCGGCCCCGGCCTGCCCTGAACCCGACTCCGCCCCCCGAGTGCGTCCCTCCCGGATGCGAGGAGCCAAAATCTGCAGCCTGCTGGGTTGGGCTCTGTACTTGGTGCCCCTGCACATCCTACTCAGTCTCAATGCTCTTCTTTCTATGTGAGGAGTTGAAATCTGCAGTTTTTTGGGTTGGGCTCTGTACTTGGTGTCTCTGCACATCCTACTCAGTCTCATTGCTCTTCTTTCTTTCCTTCCAGTTGTAGAGCTTCCACTGGGCCAGCTTTCCCATGGTTCCGTATGAGAGCTGTTTGTCCTATAGTTGGTAGTTTCGATGTTGTTGTGAGAAGCGGCACGCACAGGTCTCTTCCTTATGCCGCCATCTTGGTTCTCCTGGGTCTGCTTCTTGAGTGTGTCTCCCATGGGTGCGAGCAGTTGAAGTCTGCAATTTGTTGGGTTAGGCTGCAAAAGCGCAGGTGGGTCTTTTTGTGCACCTGGCACAGCTTGGATGGGGATGTAAATTGATTAGGGCTGGGTCTCAGGGAGTTGCCATGGTGGAGAAATAGCATTGGCGGCGTCTCCGCGGCCCCTCGCCTCTCCGGGACACCAGGGCTTCATGTCCCCCAGTGCTGGCGAGCAGCCGGGCGACAGAGCCTCCCTCGCTTTCTGATGACTAATAGGTTATTTGAATACTTTAGTAGATGTGCTGTCATTTGTGTCCCTCAAAATGACGGGCAGGGTGGTGTTAGTAGCAGTGGTTATAGATGTAAGATGACCACCTGACACTGACCCAGTAAAGCAGGGGTCCTCAATCTACGGCCTGCGGGCCACATGCAAATACAAATATTGTATTTGTTCCCGTTTTGTTTTTTTAGTTCAAAATAAGATATGTGCAGTGTGCATAGGAATTTGTTCATAGTTTTTTTTAAAACTATAGTCCGGCCCTCCATCGGTCTGAGGGACAGTGAACTGGCCCCCCCGTTTAAAAAGTTTGAGGACCCCTGCAGTAGAGAGTGAGAGCAGTTAGAATGAATTGGCTCCCTGAACTGCCAGTTTCTGATAACTTGACAATTTTATCATTATGAAGTGCCCCTACACATGTCAAGTAATTCTTTTCATTTTTTCTTAAAGTTCCCTAGGTCGAATATTAATATCACAAATGGTATAATTATATAAATAATTTGAAGCCTAGGATCATGGTGCATTTCTCTAGAAAGGATTTTCATTTGCTTCTGCCAGGGCTGGAAGATGCTAACAAAATACGTTCACCTTTATGCAATGTCAGGGATTGAGGTGACTTGACACTTGGTTTCAGTCGTGATAAAAGATGCACAATTTCCTTTTGTTCTTATTCCTACGGTTGACGCTCTTGGGGTTTACCAGGAAGCCTCTGTGGTGGGCAATGGGTTTGTGTTGTTTAGTCCCTCGAACCCGCCCAAAGTGCTACTCAGCATCTCAATTAACAGAACTTATATTCTTCTAAATCCGACAGGCTAGAATCGCAAGACATTGCCCGAGACCTTCTCAGGCATTCCGGGAACAGCTTTGTCTGTTTTCTGCTCTGGAATTGTTGTCCACGAGGACGGTACTGTTGCCGTTTTCCGCTTAGCATTCTGGGACATGTAGTTCAGCGCTCCATGTAGTCTGACATACTACTGTACACCTACTGCAAGGCCAGGCTGTAAACGTGTGTTTTTTTCCCCCCGCGGAATTCTGGGAAGTGTAGGTCCAAAAGCTCCGTGTAGCCATAGGCACCTCCAGTCCAGGAGGAGCGTGCTGTGGAATTCTGGGAGATGTAGTTCAGGGGCTTGGGTTAGTCACAAGCACTTCCGCCCCTAGACGACGTAGCAGCTATCGTTTCCCAGGTGGTGGTTATTGAGGTCGGTTATACACGGACCCATTCAAACTTCCCTCTACATGCGCCCGGGGCCAACAACCACCGGCCTTTCATTTGTGGAGGAAGAGGAGCGGCTAGAAAACGGAGGTCTGAGGCTGAGATAGAGATTTGCGTTCCCCAGGGCGGAGCGTCTTTGCTATGGCGTGTCCCCGGGATGGGGCGGGCTCGGTCGCGCTTCCCGGGGTTTGAGGGTCTCCCGGGCGCTCTGCACCCCCGACCCGGCTCCCTCACCTGCCACTCCATTGGGTGGGTTACCTAACACCTCTGTGCCTTCGCTTGCTGTTCTGTAAAAGGGAAATAAAAGTAAAACCGTCCTAATAGAATGTTTGAAACACAAAAACGAGAATAGTATAAATAAAAGGTTTAATTAAAACTGCCTGGCACTTGGGGTACTAATACTACTATAACTCTCTGGAAAGCGTCTATCTCGCAGTTAGATTCTACGAGCTCAGGAATCTGAATTGTCCTGGACTGCTAGCCTTTTTATTTTTATTTTTAAAAATATATTTTTATTGATTTCAGAGAGAAAGGGAGAGGGAAAGAGAGCTAGAAACATCAATGATGAGAGAATCATTGGGCTGCCTCCTGCACGCCCCCTCCTGGGGATCCAGGCGCAACCCCTGGCATGTGCCCTTGACAAAAATTGAACCCGGGACCCTTCAGTCCGCAGGCGGAGCTCTGTCCATTGAGCCAAACCGGCTAGGGCAGACTTCTGTCCGTTTATAGGGGCGGGTTGCCTCTAGCTGGTACCCGGGATGTGATTTATCAGGGATGCGAACACAATCCTGGATTTCACAGCTTCCTTTATTTCCCCAGCCCTGACTTCTCAGAAAGCACTGCCCGGAGGAGGCGGCAACAGAGCCCCAGGTGAGTAGGACTTGGCTTCTTCTAACGATATTCACTTAAATTGGAGAATGAATGGGACATGTTCTTGGACAGGTATGGGTAATGATTATAACTGAGCCTTAGTTGCTAAGTTCAATCTTTATGCAGATACACATATTTCTGTCGCACAGTGGCTCTGGGAAGTGCTGCTCATTTCCCTTCGTTAAAGATGAGACTGAGATGCAGGAGACATGTTTGCCCAGGGTCACCCTGCTGGTCCGAGGCAGACCTGGGCTTGGAATCTAAGCAGCCTGAGTGCAGCACCTGAGTTCGTCCATCTCGTTGGTCTGTTCTTCTTGTCTAGAATCATAATGGGAAAGTAGGTAGGGACTGGATTGTGGGAACCTTGAGAGCCAGATTTAGGCTAGTCTATATAGGAGTTTTTAAAAGAGTTTTCTCAACGGTTCCACTATTTTATTTCAAGTAATGTGTATACAGGGTGAGGCAAAAGTAGGTTTACAGTTGTTTGTATAGAAAATAATACAATCATAAATAATATAAGAATGAGCTCTTTTTGTGTACTCACAACTGTAAACCTCCCCCCCCCCCCATATTATAAAAGTAACATAATCATTATGGAAAATTCAAACAGTACAGGAATACATAAATAAAATTTTAAATTACCCATACCCAAAATGTAAAGATAACCATTGTTCCCCACGTAAAACAATGGTAATGTATATGGAACTGCTAGCTCTTACTTAACTTGATTTAATGATATTAAGATACATGAATTTAACTTGCTTTAATGTAGGCAAACTTTTCTTTTTTGTCCACTTTACTGTTTGTGTTAAAATAACATCCCTCTCCTGCATATTCTTTTCTTAACTCAAATGAAATATTAACCTATGGTCAGGATGGGAGAGAGAAGCGACTGAGATGAATGTCTTTACTAAAATACCAATAAATGTGTCAAACTAAAAAAAAAAAATAACCATTGTTAACGTTTTGGCAACTCCGGTTGTTCGTCGTGTTAATTTCCGCTTACGGAGGCTGTTCCCTTTGGGGCTGCTGGCACACTGCAGTGCTCCTCAAACTGTGGTCCACAGCCAGCGGCATTGCATCACTTGGGTAGAAGTGCCCACCCTTGAGCCCTACCCACTGCCTTCTGATTTAGAATTTCTGCAGATGGCACCCAGGAATCCTGAGTTGATTCCTGTGCACGGGGAAATTTGGGAAAGTTGGGAGAGGTTCTTGTCTGGAAACTAAGGCCTAAAAATTTGACCCTGGCAACTGTCACAGATGAAACTGAATAGGATACACCAGAGCCCTACTCAGTCCAAGATTCTTTCCCCCCACTAATTACTGTCAGCTGTCAGGTCTTCTTGCAAAATCCTGACATGAGCAGAAGGTAGCTGCAAGTATAGAGACAGAATGGATAGAGTTAGAGGTCTTGAGTATATATTTCTCTCAGGCCTAGGGGAGTGGATTAATTGCCGTCTTTTTAACTAGAGGACTTCTGTCGGAAGTAGGAAGATCAACTAGTACTTACTATTAGTTAATATTAGATACTTTGGCTGTCGTCATCATCACCAGAACTACTGTTGTTATTACTATGACTACTTCCTCATTTCTATAACTTTTTATTTAACTTTATACTTACAGAAAAGCTGCAAAGATAGTAGAAGGAATTCTCATATATTCTTTACCCAGATTCATCAGTTGTTTATGTCTTGCTTATTTGCTCTGTTGATGACCATCAGCCAGATACCTCCAGGAACACACCTGTAATCAAAAAGTTAAGTTTAGTCCTAGTCGGTTTGGCTCAGTAGATAGAGCGTTGGCCTGCGGACCGAAGGATCCCGGGTTCAATTCTAGTCAAGGACCTGTACCTCGGTTGCAGGCTCCTCCCCGGCCAGGGACCCTGGTCAGGGTGCATGCAGGAGGCAACCAATCAATGTGTTTCTCTCACATTGATGTTTCTCTGTCTTTCCCTCTCTCTTCCACTCTCTCTAAAATGAATGGAAAAATATTCTCGGGTGAGGATTTAAAAAAACACACGTTTATTTTAGCTTGCTGCAGCAGGAAGCCCACACAGCACGGGGGAATCAGGGGATGTTGGCAAGAAGCAATTAGGGTTTTGGTATGTGTTAGCTGCATTGGGGAGAGTGGTAGGCAGTGAGGGTTTGTTCTGGACTGGATGCTATCAAGAAGCAGAAGCAATTTTTAAAAATATATTTTTTATTGCCTTCAGAAAGAGGAAGAGAGATGGAGAGAGGGATTGAAGCACCAGTGATGAAAGGGAATCTTTGATCAGCTGCCTCCTGCACGTCCCCTACTTGGGATCAAGCCCATAACCCGGGCATGTGCCCTGACCAGGAATCAAACCATGACCTCCTGGTTCATGGGTCCATGCTCAACCATGGAGCCACACCAGCCTGGCTAGAAGCAAAAGCAATTTGATTACTGAATATTGTAAGAATTTTTGCCTAGTTGTGGGAGAAACAAAATGAAATTGGGGTTGTCAATTGTTCCCAAAGTAGTCACTCCTGTTAGCTGGGAGGGGCCGTTCTCTGGTGATTTTTGTCAGTGTGGCAAGTCCTTGTTTCTGTGTTATGGAGTGTCTTGTCTTTTTCTTGTTCACCACCGTCACTGAGTGGTCCTGTCTGATTTTTGTTCATCAGTTGAAAACATCAAGTTGTAGCTTTAGCTTGTCAGAGTTCTTTTTTTCTCCTTCACAGCTCTATCATACTTACAAGTTTGTTGTTGGTTTTTTCTGAACCATTTGAGAGCAAGCTACAGACAGTGATCAAAATGGAATTACTTACGTTGATAACATACTGTTATCCAATCCACAGTCCCTATTTACGTTTTTTTTTTCAGTTTTCCAATAAAGTGTTTGAGAGCAATTTTTCTTTTCTAGTTCAAGGTCCAGCCCAGTTACATACATTGTACTTGGTTTCTGTTACATTAGTCTCCTTGAATCTAGAATGATTCCTCAGGCTTTCTCTTTTTTTGCTCTTGATATTTGTACAGTCTTGCAAATTATTTTTAGAATGTCCCTCATTTTTGTTCCTGGTTAGATTCAGGCTCTGCAGGGATGCTGCCGAGGTGGTGCATCGTATGAAGCAAATGTCACTTTGTTGGTGTTTCCCAACTGGTGGTCTCAGCTTAGTTTTCTTGGTTAAGGTATTTGCCAGGTTACTGTTTTTCTTTTTACAATGAATACTTTGAGACTATGTAGCCAACTTATTCTTCACCACACTTTCACCAATTTTAGCGTCCATTGATGATTTTCTAACTATCTTTCACCTACGTCTATTAGTTTGTATTCTGCCGTGACAGTGTTCTAAGATCTTTCCCTTCTCACCCACTTACTTTTCATGTATCCTCACATCTGTAACAATATATTTATAACGTAGACTCCTGTCTGTTTAATTTAAATTAGGTATGGACTGTCAAACTATTTTTTGTATTGTTGCAGAGTCATGAATTTGAATTAATCTTCTTTATCTCTGTGCATATTCATCAAAAGGGCTTTAAAATAAACTTCCTGCTTCAAAATAAACTTTACACATTGTTATACCTCTTATAAAAAGTTGTCTGTGTCCATTTAAATATTATTGTTGAGGTAGTGTGTTATGGAAAAAAACAAAACCAGAGATTTCTCAGAAGTTACGAGTCTATAACATGACAAAGCAACAATCCCTGAATGCCATGTATCTTACATCACTCTGTTGGTAGAAATCGTATTTACAAGGATAGTATCAAATTATAAATCGTCTGTATTACTGTGGTTGCAAAGAAGTGTTCTTAGAACTGTCTACTTTATGACAATCCCATGAGATTGATACTGTTATTCTTGCCTACTTGTAAGTGACAGAATTGAGGCAGAGATGTTAATAATTTCACCAAGATGACACTGTTAGTGGATAGCCTCGCCAGGATTTCAACCCGTGCATGTTAGCTCCAGCGCCTGCTCTTACCATACCCAGCACAAGAATTACTACGGAAGAAGCTACAGGCACACTGGTGATGGGGCCACTGTGTGCGGTTGGGCAGGTACCTGGCGTCCATGCCAAGTTCTGTTCATCAAGCTGCATGCGCTGCTGCCACCCGGAGGAATGGGCACTTTTGCAAATTCACAATGAGCAGCCACATGGGTTAGTGACATACTTGACCAGTTCTCATTGACTTTTTTCTCCTTTCCCAGTCTGTCTTCTTACAACTCCGTTTCCCCAGAGAGAAAAAGAAAAAATGAGCGTGTTCAAGGTGAGTAGGGCTTGCCTTTTTGCTTTTAAATATATCTTATTGATTTTTTACAAAGAGGAAGGGAGAGGGATAGAGTTAGAAACATCGATGAGAGAGAAACATCAATCAGCTGCCTCCTGCACACCCCCCACTGGGTATATGCCCACAACCAAGGTACATGCCCTTGACTGGAATCGAACCTGGGACCCTTCAGTCCACAGGCCGATGCTCTATCCACTGGGCCAAATCGGTTAGGGCTGTTTCATCATTTTTTTATTTCACAAATAAGAGAAACATTAGTGGAAATGAAAAACATATCCCTTACTACTTCCCTTTTATATTTCCATTATCTCTTCATCATATGTATTCATACTGTTTATTTGTATTCAGAACAAAGATACAAATTTAAATTGGTTTTTTAATACTACATAACTTTTTTAAATAAATGTTTTTATTGATTTGAGAAAGGGAGAGAGAAAAACATCAATAAGAGAGAAACATCAGTCGCCTGCCTCCTGCACGCCCCTTACTGGGGATCAAACCCTCAACCCTAGCATGTTCCCTGACCTGGAATCGAATTGGTGACCACTTGGTGCATCGGACGATGCTCATCCAACTGAGCCACACCAACCAGGGCTATAGCATTTGTTTTTGTTATATCATGTTCTCATCAAATTTATGTACCTATTTTTTAAAACTATTCTCTCTTCATAGACATTAGTTTAGGATTTGTACTGTTTTAAGAACACTACAGTAGCTTTTCTGCACTGAACCTTTTTCTCAAAAAACCAATTCTAAAAAAAAAAAATACTGCCTTTTAAAATCTTTTACATACTAGGTATTCAAAATAGAAAAGTATGTTTTATATGTGCTGCCTTGGATTTTTTTTTTTTTTTTTTGTAGAATACTCAAATATGGCTCAATGTATCAGGATCCAACTACTGCTTCACACCGATAAAATGCTGTTAGAAGTTTTCTCACTACAAGAGCTAGATTCTGTCCCCCTATACCTGAATCATACCCTGTGTGTATTTTATTTACTGTTTACTTTTTTTTCTTGTATTTTTTTTTTTAATTTTTATTTTTTTTTAACCAGGACTACAGGCTTTATTAGAGGAGAAGCACCTGCCGGGCTGTCTCCCAAGGGGAGAACAGCAGCACGTGCAGGGGTGGGCACGCCTTTTGAGGGGCGGAATGGGAAGGGGTGGGGGGCTTAGTGTACTCGGCGCACACTGATTGGTGGCTTACTGCATTGTCCATATAGGACAAGGGCTTAGGGTATTTGGCAGGTGTGGATTGGTGGTCCAATGTATAGTCCATATGAGGTACCTGGTTAGTCACTCAGGTATTTCTGGGCTGCAGGTTACGTCATACCCCGCCCACCAGTTGGGGGAAGGGAGGATCTATCATTCCACGCTTTTGGTAATATTAAAAAAAATTGAGAGTCCGGGCAAGGTCAGGGGGCGAAGGTCTGTCTTCTGTAGCTACTTCCTGCTGAGAGGGGAAGTCGTCAGTGGCATCTACCCGGGGTCTCAAAGATTCCGGTGTCATAGGTGTCTCTAGGTTCTGGATTCAAGGCCAGATAGATTTCTCCCACCTTCTGGTTGGCGAACACCTGCATTCTGTTCTGTAAAAAAACGGTGGAAGGGAAGCGACGAGATCCCCACGTGTCCTGGTGCGGCAGGGTTCGAGAGGTGTCTGGAGCAGGCCAATCAACTCAGAACTGTACCACCGAACAGAGCCAGAGCAGGAATCAGAAGTTCGGGCCAAGGTTCGAGGATCGTCCATGCTCCCCTTCACCTCTCCCGGGTCTTCGGCACCAAAATGAAAGATCAGACGGAGGCCTAAAACCAGGACTACAGGCTTTATTAGAGGAGAAGCACCTGCCGGGCTGTCTCCCAAGGGGAGAACAGCCTTTCTTGTATTTTTTTTTAAAGTAATACATGACCTTAGTTTTAAAAGTCCAGTGGGCCCTACCCGGTTTGGCTCAGTGGATAGAGCATCAGCCTGTGGACTACGCAGCAGTTGCCAACCTTTCGGACCGGTGGGCAACTGCTGGAATAAAGGGTCCCAGGTTCGATTCTGGTCAAGAGCACATGCCTGGGTTGCGGGCTTGATCCCCAGTAGGGGGCGTGCAGGAGGCAGCCGATCAATGATACTCTCTCATCATTGATGTTTCTATGTCTCTCTCCCTCTCCCTTCCTCTCTGACATCAATAAAAAAATATTTTTTAAAAATTAAAAGTCCAGTGGTTTGCCCGGCCATTGTGGCTCAGTGGTTGAACAATGACCCATGAACCAGGAGGTCATGGGTCAATTTCCAGTTAACACACATGCTTGGGTTGCAGTCTCGATCCCCAGTAGGGAGCATGCAGGAGGCAGCCAATCGATGATTCTTTCTCATCATTGATGTTTCTATCTCTCTCTCCCTCTCCCTTTCTCTCTGATATCAATAAAAAAATATTTTTTAAAAATTAAAAGTCCAGTGGTTTGCCCGGCCATTGTGGCTCAGTGGTTGAACAATGACCCATGAACCAGGAGGTCATGGGTCAGTTTCCAGTTAACACACATGCTTGGGTTGCAGTCTCGATCCCCAGTAGGGAGCATGCAGGAGGCAGCCAATCGATGATTCTTTCTCATCATTGATGTTTCTATCTCTCTCTCCCTCTCCCTTTCTCTCTGATACCAATGAAAACATAATAAGAAAAAACACACACACAAAAAAACAGTCCAGTGGTTTTAGAGGACTTGTCACTGCATTGACACTTCAGAACAATTTTCTGAAGATATTTTTGGTTTCATCTTTATTTTTAATGAAAAGAAAATGGGTTATGAAAAATAAGGAACCTGCTCAAGTTCACATAGAAAAGTAAGTCTCAGAGTATTGTACTCGAGTGAAATACAGAGACAGGAGGAAAGAATTTTTGATATATTTCCATATAATGCTCCTCACCTGGTTCCCATCTCAGTGGGATTAAAACAGTAAACATTTCTAGGGCAATTGTATATATATATATATATATATATATATATATATATATATATATAATGAGAAAGAACCATTGATTGGCTGCCTCCTGCACGCCCCACACTGGGGATCGAGCCCACAACCCAGGCATGTGCCCTGACTGAGAGTCAAACCGTGACCACCTGGTTTATAGGTTGATGCTCAACCACTGAGCCACGCCGGCCGGGCACAAGTGAAAATATTAACTAGCCCTAACCAGTTTGGCTCAGTGGATAGAGCGTCGGCCTGTGGACTGAAGGGTCCCAGGTTTGATTCTGGTCAAGGGCATGTACCTTGGTTGCGGGCACATCCCCAGTAGGAGATGTGCAGGAGGCAGCTGGTCGATGTTTCTCTCTCTCATCGATGTTTCTAACTCTCTATCTCTCTCCCTTCCTCTCTGTAAAGAAATCAATAAAATATATTTTAAAAAAGAAAAGAAAATATTAACTAAAATGTAGAACCTTTTTAGTCAGGATACAGTATTTAGAATTCTGGGGAATTTATTCATAACACTGCTCAGTGTGAGCGCACTGGGTAAACATACAAAGCTTTTTTTTCATAGCAGCATTGTTGTCGAGGCTGCAGAAAATGTGTGTGGCGTTGGCAGGACAGAAGGAGAAGGGCCGGAAGATTTCCAAATTGCTCAGAGCAGCTTCCTACCCATCCTCCTCACCTTGTCAGTGCTGCCCCCCGCCCCCCGCCTTTTTTTAAAATATGTTTTATTGATTTCAGAGAGGAAGGGAGAGGGAGAGAGAGAAACATCAATAATGAGAGAGAATCATTTGGCTGCCTTCTGTGCATCCCTACTGGGGATTGAGCCCACAACCCAGGCACGTGCCCTTGACTGGAATCAAACCCGGACGCTTCACGCTCTATCCACTGAGCCACACTGGCTAGGGCTGTGCTGCCCCTTTACTAGTGGACACTGGGTGTAAGATTGAGGTGTACATGTTTGTTGTAGGAGGCGGTGACATTCAAGGACGTGGCTGTGGCCTTCACTGAGGAGGAGCTGGGGCTGCTGGACGCTGCCCAGAGGAAGCTGTACCGAGACGTGATGGTGGAGAACTTCCGGAACCTGGTCTCAGTGGGTGAGGACAGGCGCCCTCTGCAGTATCTTTGTGACCTTGGGGTTAAGGCTTTGGGGCTCTTGGAATGGCTCCCTCATTTTGGTTTACTGGACTTTTGCCAATTCCTGTGGGACACAAGAGGATGTTTCTGGTCTTTCTAAATAAGATGTTTCAGGGTTTTTTTTCACTTGTGTTTTGTAGAAGAACTATAAATGGTCAGTCTGCTGCTCTACCTCTTCTATATTCTTTTTAAAATTTCACTCCTAGCCCATTAGTGGATTATAAAGCCAATTTATGTAGTCTGCTCTGCAGTTTTTAATGAAACAAAAGAGGGTAGTCCTGGCCAATGTGGTTTAGTTGGTTGGAGTGTCTTCCCGTGCACCAAAAGGTCGAAGGTTCCCAGTCAGGGTACATACCTAGGTTTCAGCTTCAGTCCCCTGTTGGGCATGTATGAGAGCAGCCCATCAATGTTTTTCTCTGACATCTCTCTCTCTCTTTCACCTTTCCTCTCTCTCTAAAAATATCAAAGACTATGTCCTTGGGTAAGGATTTAATATATATATATATATATCCCACCACTGTGGCTCAGTGGTTGAGTGTCAACCTGTGAACCAGGAGGTCATGGTTTGATTCCCAGTCAGGGAACATACCTGAGTTGTGGGCTCGAACATACCTGAGTTGTGGGCTCGATCCCCACTCAATGATTCTCTCTCATCATTGATGTTTCTATCTCTCTCTCTCCCTCTCCCTTCCTCTCTGAAATCAATCAAAATATATATTTTTAAAAAGAAGAATAGAACATTGCAGCTAAAATTGGCCAGTTGCATGCATGGTCTGAGAGTCATTGGGAGGAGATTTAATGAAAATTGACAACAGAACTGTGCCATTTGGCTTCTGTTTTAGCAATACATATCTGTGTATACTAGTATAGTATGTGTCTGG